CTACAAGACGTCTCGGTGCGCGGGTCGCCCCTGAGGGCGGCGACGCACACAGAGTGTCAGTACGTCGGCGTGACGCCGACGAGAAGGAGAAGGCGCTCTCAGAAGGCGGCGGGGCTTCGCGGACGCCCGCCGGCCCTCTGAGCAGCTCCCCGCGTCTGCGGTGAGGGCCTCGACAGCTTCTCGGAAGGCCGGGGAGCTTCCGGGCCTCCCGAGAGGGCCCGCGCCCCTTCCTCGCCTCCCGCCCGGCCGCGCCGCCGTAAAGAGGGGCCCAGCTCGCCGACGCGAGGCGGTTTTTTGGGCCGCTGGCGGAGGTGTGCCTCGGCCTCGCGGCCTCCTGGGGCGAATCCTCGGGCCTCGGGGGGCCGTCGGAAGTGGGCCTGGGGAGGGGAGGTCCAGGGCGCACCCACGGGGGGGGCGGTCGGGACAGATCGGGTCGGCGGATGTCAGGGGATGTGGAGCAGCAGCAGCAGCAGCAGCAGCAGCAGGAGCGGCAGGAGCAGGAGCAGGAGGAAAAAAGCGGCCTGGGTCGATGGGGGGTCGCTGGTGCCTTCGCTGCCTGATCTTGCATTTTGCCCTGGCCCTGATCCTCCCGTTCTCCGCGTCGCAGGGGTGGCACATCCACACGTTGAGGACGTACCGCGGCTTGGCCTCGTTGTGAGTCACGCTGTGTATGAACGTGTCGTCGAAGACAAGCGCCCGCCCCTCCTCCCACCTCACCACCTCGTTGCCCACCGACATGAAAATCTCCCCCTCCGGCACAATGAGGCCCAAGTGCACGCTCAGCCTCCAAGCAAGCAATCCGAGGTGTCCCCCGATCCCACTGACATCGACTTCTGTCATAGGTCATCCCCCTTCTCCACACACACACACACACCCTGAATCATTCTTGGCACAGTTAAGCACGAAAGCCTGGCAGTCTTAAGATCGATGAAAGTGGAGGCTGGGCTGGAGGAGCCGACCGAGCTGGAAGAAGGCGGAAAAGGCTCAGGTATCCGGGCCAGGGCTGCAAAAGACACTGGGCACTGCACAAGGCATCACACATGATCGAATAACGGATCGAATCTGAAACCACTACCTTGCGGATGCTTTCGTCGAGGCTTCTCCAGGGAGAGTAGGTCCTCATCGGCTTACGGCCGCGCTACGTCGAGGCGAATTGGCCCCAAGACGAGAAAGTTCCAGGTGCCAGATGCACATGTGCTAGGTGCCACTCGGGTCGGGTTAGGTTTACTCCCTCTTCCTCCTCTCTGCTCCTCTCCAGACATCTGGCGGCACATTTTTTCGAGACGTGGGTCTCTGAACCCCTCGACCCCGTCGCCCAGGCAGGCTCGTCATCCTGACGCATCTGGGGATGGCCCTGGGGCCCGAAGCCGCACTCCCAGGGCCCACAGTGAGGACATCACCTGCTCGACCGCTGGATGCCTGGCTCCTCGTGAACATGTGGTATGCTTCAAGGGCCCCGGGTGGCGAGGTAAAGGGGGCAGGGAGGATACGGATACGAATACGGAAAAGTCCGCGAATGAGCAAGGGACCAGCCTCTCAGAAAAAGAAAGACAAGAAAACAACAATTCGCCGGCCCAACGGGCCAGAGGCGTGCTAAGATCTCCGGTAACTGGTTAACAATTTTCTAGTTCGCGCGCGCGGGGCGGCCCCTGGGGGTCCCCGGACGAAAAGTACCCCGACCAGGTCCCGGCCGGGTCCCCCCGAGCGCTCCATGAGCGCACCAACAGGGCTCCGAGACGTCCCCGAGAGCCCCAAGAAAGGCCAAGAGGCCCCCAAGAGGCCCCCAAGATGGTACACGAGGGGTCCGACATGCCACAAGATCGCTCCAAGACGCCCAAGATAGCCCCCAGACGCCCCAAGAGGCCTCCAAGAGCACTCCCAATAGGGCCCCCGGAGGCAAAAATCATTGTTTTTCCATAGGTTTTTGAGAGATTTTGGAGCTTCCACCTTTTCGGCTTCCCGACGCCCCAAGACGGCCCAAGAGGCCCCCAAGATCGCCCCAAGAGGGCCCAAGAGGCACCCAAGAGGGCCCCAAGATGGCCCAAGAGGGCTCGAAGACGGCCCAAGAAGCCTCCAAAACGGTCCAAGAGGGCCCCAAGAACGCCCCCAAAGGGGCCCCAGAGAGGGAACACGAAACAACATTTCGAGCCCTCGGCCCTAAGAAGCCCCTACGAGGCCCCTAAGAGGCCCCAAGAGGCCCCCACGGGGCCCTCAGGAGGCCCCCAAGAGTCCCCCAAATGCCCCCCCGAGCGCCCCAGGAGTCCCCCAAGCGGCCCCAGGAACCCCCAAAGCGCCGCATTGACACCAGGCCCTCAGGCAAACGGCAGACATGAGACTGTATGGGCCGGCGGAATGAGCGAAGCGATTAAATAACAACAAGAACAACAACAACAACAACAACAACAACAACAACAACAACAACAACAACAACAACAGCAACAACAACAACAACAACCACCACCACCACCACCACCACCACCACCACCACCACCACAAAAAACAGCAATAACAAGAACAACAATAACAACAACAACAACAACAACAACAACAACAAACAACAGACAACAACAACAACAACAACAACAACAGCAACAAAAACAACAACAACAACAACAACAACAACAACAACAACAACAACAACAACAACAACAACAACAACAACAACAACAATAACAACAACAATAACAACAATCATTCTAAGGCTGTTCGCTCTTACTTGCCCGTGTGTCATTCAAAACGAGTTCCTCACACCCTCGATACCCGCCCTTTTTGTCTTCGATCACACCCCCTTTGGGGGGGATTCTTCCTCTTTGCGGGGGGCGACGGGCTTAGACAGGCGGGCAAACCTGGACGGGCGGACAATCCTTCGTGGGCGTACATGTGCCCGCCATTGGAATTGGTGTGGGCCCTGCGAAAAGAGGAGGGGGAGAACGAGGGAGAGTGGGAGGAAGGGAGGGGGAGGGACGACGGAAGAGGGAAAACGCCAGGAGAGAAGAAGCGAAGAGGGAGGCTGTTGATCAGAGGCGGAGAGAAAGAGAGAAAGACAGATAAGAGAGGTAGAGAAAGAGAGAGAGAGGGGGGAGAGAGAGAGAGAGAGAACAAACAAAAAAAAGAGGGAGGGAGGAGGCAGGAGAGGGGAGGGAGAAGGGAGGAAGGAGATGAGGGAGAGGGGATAGGGCAGAGAGTCATAAGGATGAGGGAAGAGAGGAAGGAGAGAGAAGGGAGGAGAGGAGGGCGAAGGGAGGACGGAGAGCGAGGAGGAGCAGGAAGGTAAGAGCGTGAACGTTCGAGTAAGTCCTAGGCGAAGGCGCCGTTCCTGAAGAAAGTCTCGGGCGGGAGCCCACGACGGGCGGACGATCCCCTGACGGGCGGGTCGGGCGGGTGGAACATTCAAGCGGGATGCCTGAGTATGGCGAGAGCGCGATCACTAAGTAAATTGTAACGGCGTCCTTGGCGCAGCGTGTTTCCTGAGCGTCGAAAGCGCGACTTCTGAATAAATTGCATGGAAGTCACAGGCGAGAGCGCAATTCCTGAATAAAATGTGAAGGGTTCTCTGGCGGGAGCGGGGGTCTTGATTAAATTGCGAAGAAGTCTTGACTCAACTGCGAGGAAGTCTCAAGCGGGAGCGCCGTTCCTGAGCAAATTGTGAGGAAGTCTCAGATGGGAGCGGGGGTCCTGACTAAATTGCGAGGAAGTCACAGGTGGGAGCACCGATCCTGAGTAAATTGTAAGGAAGTCTCAACAGCGGGGGTCCTGAGTAAATTTAGAGGAAGTCTCAGGCGGGAGCCGTTGTTGTTGTAATCCGGGGGGCCCAGGGGCCCAGTTTGAGCACGAAGGCTTTCCCTGTCAAAAAACAAGGTGCGAGCGTCGAGGGGCACACTTCGATTGAGAAAAACAGTATGCACTGGTGAGGGGGATCAACAATAATTATTCTTCAGAAATGAGAATTCAACAACAACAACAACAACAACAACAACAACAACAACAACAACAACAATCATTTTACCCGAACGCTCAGTGTTCTCACCAGTGCCAGGGTTTTCATACGACGCCCGCCAATACCCCCACTTTGTGGGGGGGCCGGTTCAAGCTCTACCACATTTCCAAACGACTCTTCGCCACCACCCACACCCAGCTTCCCGCCCTATGACGTTCGGACACTTCACTTCGTGGCATGCGGACGACCGTGGCTACTACACTGGCGCATGGTTTCAATGACTTCTTGTGGTAACATCTTGTGGAAACTAGCTTAGTATACGACGACGACGATTTGAAGGGCCTACGGTGCGAAAAATGATTTTATGTTGCGCGGTGCTAAAATTCCTACGAAACCCAATGGTTTTTGAAGATTTCGGCGTGCGCACGGAAAGAAAAAACGAATGTGTCCCGCATGGTATTATTTGACAGGGATGATGGCCCTGGCAGGTGCGCAACCGTTGTTGGAGAAGTTCGAAGCACGTGAAGAAGTTGATCGCAAAAGCCCGTTTGACAGAAATGTTTAAAAAAGTTGGGTTTCCTGCAAATCCGCAAGAGCGCGCGGGATGAAATTGTGACACTTTTTTTTTTAAAAAAAACCATTGGTTTTTTGATGTTTTTATGTTGAAATCGTTACGAACACTAAGGTTTTGGAAGGATTTCGTCTTGCGCGCGCGAATGTCCACTTTACCTTATTTTTTGCAAGGGATTCTTGAAATTTGATTATATTAGAACAAGAAATGTCATTTTATAGTGTTTTTTGCAAGGGAAAGCGGGGGGGAACAAAACAACCGGATCTTGATCACATCGAATTACCTGAGGCTTCCTCACGAAAATGATGAAAATGTAGCTGCGGCCTAGGCGGCGCAGGGGGGCCGTGCACCAGGGGTCCCAACAATAATTATTCTTTAGAATTAATAATGTTCAACAACAACAACAACGACAACGACAACGACAACGACAACGACAACAACGACAACGACGACGACGACGACGACAAAACGTGCGCCCCGCAGCAACGCACCCCCGAAGTCGCAGTGGAGGGCCCCCGACCCTTGCCCCTTCTGCACGACGACGGCAGGATGACGCCGAGGTCGGGCAGCGATCGATCGGGAACCTCTCGGCGACACGCAGGAGGGACCCCAATGGGTAAGAGCGCCCTGTGGTGCGCGGCTCGTCGGGGGCCGCGGGAGGACCAAACACACAAGCGCGCAGGACGCTACCGTCGCATCGCGTTCGGCGACCAGGGGACCGTGGGCCCGCACCAAGGGTCTCTCCGGCGAAGGGCCAGTCTCACGTGTAGCGGAATCTCTGAGAACCCGCCGGCCTGCACGATGTGCAGGGCGGGCGCTCCAGCCGTTTCGGAGCGTCCAGGAATGCTCTGGAATCGGTTAGCCTCCTCCTGGGCCTGCCCCCGTTTCCCAGACGTCCGACGAGATGTTGTTGCAATCCGCCAGCCCCAGAGATCCCGAGACCTGGTAGTTTTTCGTATAGACCCCACTCTTGATGGTCAAGGGCCACGAAGACAGCCCCCAGAGGCCAGAACTGAGGAAAAACACGAGGCTCCAACAAGTCCATCCGCCAGACCCAGACAGCCGACGTCTTGCTCGTCTTCGGCACGAGGTCCCTGGAAGCCCCGACCTTTCTCCCAGGGCCGGCTTTCATACCGAGTCGTTCCTTGACGGTCACCAAAGCCAAAGGCCCCCCGAGGCTGACAACGGCCCAAAACCCTCTGTCGCGATGTTGTCCGCGACGCGAGCATGTCTCGGGAGGTCGGGGGCCGGCGCGCCGCCGAGGGCGAGGCCACGGAGACCCCTGCCCTGCAGCCTCGGCGCGTTGCCGAAGTGGGGCTTCAGGCGGCCCCCCGGGCGCATCCGCAGGAAGCCCGCGCCGGAGCCCCCCATGCGGCACCCGGCGACCTCTGGCCTGCTGCGGAGCAGCGCGCACGTCCTGCCGAGGGGAGCGAGCACAAGCAGCCCGGCCGGAGCCGCGCGTCGGTCAGGCCCGCGCCAAAGGTCACTCAAGCGAAAGGTCACTCTTACGTCTAGTCTTAGGTCGGGCATGTCCCCCTACAGGGGGATTCTGGACGAGAAAAAAGTACCCAGCAAAAAATCGTCCCCAGGCTATTTTCTGACTATCTTTGAACACTCCTCCTGTAGAGGGACACGCCCGACTTAAGCCTACTTAAGCCTAGTCGATGGGGGCCTGGGGGCCCAGGAGGGCCTCATGGAGGCCCCGGCGTGGCGGCGGCGCATACCCCGAAAAATACCTCCTGCGGGCAGACCGCGCGCGCGAGCAGCAGAAGCCAGGGACGAGCCGCGCCCCCAGAGAGGCCAGTGCGCACGGGATGGGGAGACGAAAATCGAGAAACACCTCCTCCTCCTCCTCCTCCTCCTCCTCCTCCTCCTCCTCCTCCTCCTCCTCTCCTCCTCCTCCTCCTCCTCCTCCTCCTCCTCCTCCTCCTCCTCCTCCTCCTCATCCTCCTAACATAAACTTTCGGAGCTCCGCGCGGAGAAGTCATGCCCATGCCGCTGCTGCCCTTCGACAACGATACCGGTGCCGCTGATCCCAGGACCCCCCTCCTGGGGTGCGCTCTCACTAAGAGTTTCGGGAGGAGCCCAGCCGTGGCGACGAGGACTCTCCAAGACCAGCGCGGCCGAGTCGGCACCTCGGCCCCCAGAGGTCACACGACCCGTTCCCCAGGGGCAGAGGCTGTCCTTCCCGAGCCGTTCTGTGGCGGTCCCGGCCCGGGACTCCCGGGGCCCAGCCGGGGCTGCCGGAGGCCGAAGCCCGCCAGCAAAACACTTCCGCCGTGATTTTTTACGTCGCGGTGCGAGCCTGTCTGGGCTAGCGGCGGGGCTCCGGGGTCCTGGGCGCGAGGGCACACACGGGCTCGAAGAACTCCGTGTTGCGCACCATGTACGCGGTCAGCCAGTCGTCGCCGCGGGGCCCGAACTGCGTCTCGGCGTTGCGCGTCTGCGCGTCGAGGCCGTCGAACGCCCCCTCCACGGCCAGGATGGAGTCCAGCTCGGCGCGGATCGTGGGGAAGTTCTCCTCCAGGAAGGCAGCCATGGGCACGTCCTGCGCTCCGCTCCTCCACACTGGCCCCTGGCGGGCCACCGCGGCGGGGAAGTAGTCCTCGTTGAAGTTGGCCTGGTGAGGCAGTTGCATCGGCGCGGGGCCCGAGCCGAACTGCGGCAGCCCCGCCATCTCCCTGAAGCAGGCGCGCGCCTGGCCAAGCACCTCCGCGCCGGCCGCCAGGTCGCGCCGCTGCAGCACCAGGTGGCGGCCGACCTCCCCGAGGAGCATCATCAGGTAGCGCCAGCGCATGTGGCACTGCCTGACGAAGAACTCCAGCAGGGAGAGCCCGCGATCCCTGCAGCCGCTGTGGCCCAGGGAGGCGTACATCAGCTCGGCAGCGAGGCGCCCGCTGCGCAGGTCTAGCTGGCCGCTGTGGGGGCCCTCCCACCAGAAGTAGCTGTACAGGGTCATCGACACCGCAAGGGCCAGAGACGGCGCCTGCGCGGCGTGCTCCGCCAGCGCCCAGATGTCCGACGAGAGGCCCTGCCACGCCTCGTCCACGGAGGAGTCCCCTGGGCTCAGCACCTTGGTGTAAAAGACACTGCCGAAGAGGTTGGACAGCTTCTCGACGTTCTCCAGGTCATCCTCGCGGGAGAACTCCACGCCGCCGACCACCAGCGGGCCCTGAGGGGCGGGCGGCCACGCCAGCGGCTGCGCGGCCGCGACGCCCAGCGCCGCGCCCCGCAGCAACCGGGCCACGCCGGGCATCGGGCGCGGCCCGCCAGCGACGCGCGCGGCCAGCGCCCCAGCACGGGCGCGGGCCCCGGGCGCGGTGCTCGCCGCCGGCGGCGCGGGGCGCGCGCTGGGCGGGCGCGCCGCCTGGCGCCAACGGCGGCGGCGCCCGCCGCCCAGGGCAGCAGCGTCGCAGCGCGTCGCAGCAGCAGGAGCATCGCGCCCTGAGCGGCTCGGTCCACGGGGACAGCGGCTTCGGCCACGGCGGCCGCGGAGTCGGGGGGGGGCAGGTGGAGGAACGGCAGCGGCAGCGGCAGCAGCAGCGGCAGCAGCAGCGGCAGCGGCAGCAGGAGGAGGCCAAAGCGGGGGGCCGCGGGCGGGCATGGCGGGGTGGTGGACAAGGCGCAGGCACCACCGAGAGCCGCGCCGAGGAGTGCCCCAGCGTCTCCCTCGGGAACGTGGAGGCCCCCGCTCGGCAGCCACCGCCGCAGGCCGCCGCCTCCACCGAGTCGCGCATTCGAGCCCACCCGCCGGCCCCGCCTTCAGTTTCCCCTCCTCGCACGCCTGCCGGCCGCCACGCACTGGTGCACCGCTACATCTGCCCACACCGGATCGGATGGACAACCAGGGGAGGCTGGGCCTCGTTCAAGGAAAGAGAGGCCGCGCCGAGGCGGAGCCCATTCCTCCCCTCTCGGCGGGGGGGGGCCCAGCGCTCGGGCCGCGCCCGCCGCCACTCCTCCTTATGCCGCTAAAGCCTCGTCGCCGCCGCCGTTGCCGCTAGCTGCTCTCACCCGCCACAGCGCTTGCTTGTCCAGTCCCCCCCCCTGGCTGCTGACTGGGGCGGAGGGACGTACGTTCGAGGGCTCCAGAAGATCGACCGACCAGCCCGCATCGTCAAGGCTTCAATGACGAGGGGGAAAAGAAGGAGGAGGACGAGGAAGAAGAGGAAGAGGAGGAGGAGGAGGAGGAGGAGGAGGGGCTGCAGCACGAGCAGCAGTAGCAGATAAAGAGGAGCCGAGGAAGGGATGGGGGGGAGGATAAAGGAAAGAGGGATAATGGGGGACGAGGATGCGAGGGGGGAGGGGGGAAGGAGGGAACGAACGAAAGAACACCCCTGCGAACAGCCGCCCAGGCCTGGCTAAGACCAGGTGGGTGTGAGGCCACAACCTCAACGATCAAACGAATATAAAAAAACGTCATGAACACAAGACAAAGATCAAAATATGATTCACATTTGGCACTACAGCAACCTGAATAATGCCGCGCTGGAAGCTCTGGCGGGGATGATGTGGGTCGTCGAATCGGTTGGTCGTTTTCCCCCCCCTGGGTTCGGTTGTGCTTCTGGTCCTCCTGGGCAAGACCTCCGGAGGTTTGCGCCCCATGGGAGTGGTCGTGTCCTGGCACCGTCTGCGGGGTGGGGCGCGTCGCCCCCCGGCCCTCCTTTGGGAAATTCGATAACCCCAGGGCTTCCAGGGCGGCCAGCGCTCACCGCGGCGCTGCCGACGTCGTGTGGCGCCATGCCGTCAAGGCTGAGGCTGACCCTCGTCTGAGCTTGCGTCTGCGCCCCCGCTTTGGGATGTAGAAAATACGACGAGACTATATATCGTAAGCATTCGGAGCATCAGCGTGCGAGGCACAACTTCCCTCGTTGCATCAACCCTGCCTGGATTGGCCCTATTGCGCCCTGTCGGGCGTCATAGCAGGATGCTCTATGGCGACGAGTTTCCTTCGGGCATTTGCTATGTCAACATATATCCCGATTCATGTTAGCACGGATCTCGATGCCTACATCGACGATACTGGTCTCACTCGGACGGGCACTCCTTCGGATGCGATATCTGGCTTATTTTCGAGTGCCCGAAATCTCCACAGCGCTATGACGGAAGACTTAGATTGCTCACTGGTCATGGGCAAGATTGGCCTGGCATGTAGCAGCGAACAGGTGGCCCAGCAGCTCGAGCTGCAACTGGGCGACCCTGCCAGCGTCGCGGCGCCGTCCGTGGTCAACTCAGGCGTGGGCTACAAGGCTGGTCAAGCCTTACGTGCTCGAGGTTCTGGGAGAGGCAATACTGGTAACTTCAAGGAGAGCATGGCCCCTGCTCGGAGGAAGACCAGGCGGCTTTGCAAGCACAAGGAGGTCCTGGGCCGCAAATCGCTGCGGATGTTTACATCAATTCCCTTGGCGAGCGGTTCATACGAGGCTGAGGAGTTCGGCATCAGTAATACCGAGCTACGCCTTTTTCCCTCCCTGGGGATGTCCACCATAGCTCCCAAGTCGCACCGCCGCTCGCTGACGGTAATTTCCTATTGCTCCTCTGGGTCGCCATGCGAAAGAGCTGTGGCTGACTCAGACGCGGTAATTCTCAGGCGCTCTCTCTCTCTCTCTCTTTCTCTCTCTCTCTCTCTCTCTCTCTCGTTTTTCTCTCTCTCTCTCTCTCTCGAACTCCCTCGAACTATCTAAGCATGAACCCCACAAAGCACACGTGGCAGCAGACAGCTGAAGAGGAGGGGGAGAGCGAGAGCGCGGGCTACCCGCCCGGCGCCGCCGCCGTGCCAGCACGGCCCGCCTGGCCCTCGGCCCGGGCCCCGAGGGCCCTGCCCCGCACAGCGCCGCAGGAACGGCACTGGACGGGCGCCGCGTCCAGCAGCGCGCGCGCCACGCCCACGGCCAGCCTGACGCTGAGGAGCGTCCGCCAGCGCGCCCCCCAGCGCGTGGGCAGGAGGCCGCGATCTCGCAGCCGCTGCGACAAGAAGACCGCGAGGATCTCTTTCTCTCTCTCTCTCTCTCTCTCCCTCTCTTTCTCTTTCTCTCTCCCTCTCTCTCTCTCTCTCTCTCTCTCTCTCTCTCTCTCTCTCTTTCTCTATATATATATATATATGTATCTCTCTCTCTCTCTCTCTTTCTCTATCTCTCTCTGTCTCTTTCTCTCTTTCTCTCTTTCTCTCTATCTCTCTCTCTCTCTCTATATATATATTCATATATATATATATAGATTCGCCTTTCTTTCAAGCTGCTGCGAGAGGCTTGGGTCTCGGTTTCTGGCAGGGATGCTTGGTCTTGGGCCAAAACCTCGGGGCCCTTCAGCTCTCTTAGGGTGACCCTCGACAGGCCGGGCTGGCGCGTGGCGTCGTTCTGCGAGCGTGTCGAAGACAGGGGCCGTTCCCCCCACCTCCTGCCCCTCCCCCCCAAGCTGGTCTCCCAACTGGCCAGGGCCGCTGCTCTTCGGGGGGCAGGGCGCGATTCGGGTCCCAGATTCAGGGTTCCTCACAGGCTCTGCTGGGATAGCGGTCGGGAAACAGCTTCGTTCCCAGCAAGTTAGCTAGAATCATAAGTCCACCATGAGGACCCTCGCTGGCAACGCCATCTGGGCTGGTATGGCCGTCAGGACTGCTAGCTACGACGTTCCCTCGGCGTGCGCATGCGCGGCAAGCACGACGACACGCTCTAGCATAGGCTCTGGCAGTGTCCTGCGTGTGCAGCTGAACGTGAGCGCATTGCTCCTGACGATATGTTAGCCCACGCTCTCGACACGGAGGCCGATGATTACGAAGGCACTCTGTTCATGCACGGTGCCTGTCGGCACCCAGGAGACGTGCTGCCCAAGCCCTCGTCTGACGGAGTGGTACACGTTCACTGGTCGGAGCCCCAAGCGTCTCCCCCATGGTATCGCTGGCCCTGTTCAGGCTCTCCCTGACCTCGGGCTCTGGAGCTATGTGTTCATGGATGGCAACTGCTTCAGACGCCCCCTGAACGAGCTTTCCCGTTCTGGTCGGTGCCTGGCCATGACGGGTGAAAATGCTAACCTGCTGTGCGAAGTCACAGCGCCTGTCCGGGCCCCTTTACCCTCAAACCCCCCAGGCGGCGGAGTTCTGGGTTTTGTGCCAAGCGTGCTGTCAGCTGGCACCCTAGCTCTTCGGTCGACGAAATGGAAGCTGTCGGTGTAAACGTCAAGATAGCCAGTTGTGTGTCATGGACTTCGCTGCTGTTGTGCTTCCCCTCTTTCCTCGGGTGGAGTTTCGGAGTTTGGAGCGGGTTGCTTGCTCTCTTTTCTCGGGTGGGGTTTCGGAGTGTGGTGCGGGTTCCTCCTCCTCCTGCCCCTCCTGCACTTAAGCGAAACCCGCACCGCTGGGCTCTTATGTCTGGCTTCTGACGCTGTAGTGTCTGCCTCAAGGATTCGGCCGACCCTTGTTCTCCAGACGAGGGGTCCTGTTGCGGACACAGCCGGTTAGGCAGCGTTGTTTTGGATCGGCTCCAGCACTGCGCTATGGCTCTCGAAGCAAGTGATACTTTACACGTTTCTTGTGTCCCAATTGTCGGTCGTATCCCTCTGGGGCTCAGGCTCTCAACTTGGGAAAGATGTGCCGTCCTCCAACGGTGACTGGCAACAGGACTTTGAACAAGATCAGGCAAGGAAGGCACCCTGATAAATCAGGAGCGACTCTCAATTTGAGAAATTCATGCCGCTGCAGATTTCAGCTTCCTTCCTGCAGCTTGATTGAGGCGCCGTGGGTGGCAAAAAAGAGGAGGAGGAGAAAGAGGAACTCTTGGTCGTCGATGTCGACGTGCGTTGGCAGTGCCGCCATCCAGTGTCAGCGTACTGGTGTTCGAGCATTGCTCAAGCGAGGCTGTCTTGGGTAGTGCGAGCCCGGGAAAAGTCGTTCGGTTGGCCTTTCGCAGTGGCAGGTGTGGGCGCCCGATGAAGGTCGGGTCTGCGTTGTCAAAGGTACGTGACCACCTCGTCTCAGCGTTTGCGTTGGCCACCATGTTGTCGCTGGCCGCGCTGGCGCAGGTTGGCTCCTGGGTTGTGTTCTCGGGGTTGGCGGCCCTTGAAGCCATGCGCCACGATTTCCGTTTGTGCGTCGTCGTCCAGCTCTCGATCTGGTGATGACTCATGAGATCTCCTTAGGGCCGAGTAGAACGTTAAATGAAATCCGCCCAAGGCTGCATATCTACCTTTGCGGTGTCGTCGTCGCACTCGCCTATCCTGGTCTGGCGCCGCGGTTGCGTCGTGCTGAGGCGGGCTGCTGTCCGCGTCGTCATCGCTGGTGCTGTTGGCGCAGGGTTCGGTGTCCAGTGCTTCGTCAATCGTGCAGTAGATACCCTAAGTTTCCTTGCTGCTGCGGGGGGTGGGGTGCTTGGTGCACGGTGCGCAGCCGAGGCGTCCTGATGATCATGCGAAGCATGCGTCGCTGGGTCCGCCGCAAGTGGTGCCAGAGGGCTTCTGTGAGCGTCCATGTCTCTGTTCCGTGGAGTGCTGTCGGCGGTACTTTCCTATTGAAGAGCTGGAGTCGGTGTGCCAGTGGGTAGCGTCTGCTGGTCAGCTCTTGGCGACGCTAAGTGAACGACGCCAACTTAGCTCTCGTGCGCTGATTGACCTTTTTCCTCTCCACCGTGCAGTGGGAGCTAAAGTTGGCCGAGTTACTTGATCCTGCACATGCGAAGAAGGATGTCAATGTCAATCCCCTCGTGTGGAAGAATGCGTGAAGGAATTGGGAGAAGGGGAGAGGCGAGACGAAGCAAGATGGGAGAAGGGAGGGACCAGCGTGAACAGACGCAGGACCCCATCGAACCGAGAAGGCCATCACGTGACGCGCCGAGGGCGAGAACGACGACGACGACGACGAAGACGACGACAAGGCACGCCGACGGCGACGACGTCGACGACAACAACGGCGACGACGATGACGGTCACGACGACTGTCACAACGACGACGACGACGACGACGACGACGACGAGGACAACGACGAGGACGACGACGACGACGACGACGACGACGACGACGACGACGACGACGACGACGACGGTCACGACGACGACGCCGAACACGACGGCAACGACGACCGACGACGAGGACGAAGAGATACGGCGACGACAAGGACGACAAAGACGACCGAACCCCTCACAAATACTCATCCTTACCATCCTGTTTCCTTGCTCCTATGATTCCTCCTCCAACTCCCCCATTTCCTCCCGACGACGTCGACGACGACGACGCCGACTACGACGACGACGACGACGATGACGACGGCGACGACGACGACGACGACGGTCACGACGACGACGACGACGACGATGCCGATGACGACGCCGACGACGACGACGACGACAACGACGCCGCCGCCATCGCCGCCGCCGAGGGCCCCCGCCGAAGGCCGCCGAAGGACGTCGGCGGCCGCCGAATGCGGAAACCCAGCGGCACCAGCGGCGGCGGCGTCCAGCGGCGGCGGCACCCGGTGGCCAGCGGCGGCAGCCAGCGGCGTCTGGCAGCCGCCGATGGGCGCCGCGGCTGCCGCAGGCGCCTTGCAGTCGAAGCTCCGGCGCATGACGCGGAGGAGCTCCTGGCGCTCCTCCTGCCGGGGCGCCGTCGTCGTCGTCGTCGTCCTCGTCGCCGTCGACTGTTGGGAACGCACGGGCGGGTATCGCACGACTGTGGGAGAAGATTCGTCTAAAAAGCCAGGGCCAGCTGCCGGAAGTCTTCGGCAAACGCTAAGCCAACCTCGCGAGCAAAGCCCCGTGCAGGCGTAGGGGGATCCGGAGTCGGGGCAGCCTCCTGGGAAAAAGCTGGGCCAAAACAAACATGGAAAGGTCTTAACGGCCAGCGAAGCCGTACAGTGGCGGAAAGGCTATGTCGAGCCCTCTTCCCCCCAAGACCTCCGACGCCGCGCTCTTCAACACGCGGGCCCCAGAGCTCCCGAACCCATCCACAACGACTTGTTTTAGTTGCTGGACCTGCTCTTGCAACCCCTCCTGGCCCGAGAACGGCCCGCAGAGCCGAGATCGCCACAAGATTACCCCGCGACACCCAGAGTAGCTGGTCTTTTCGCTGCAGCTCCGAGGGTCACGCAACCACTCCCGGCAGTTCTCTGGCTGGCCGAAGGGAAGACTCGGCGGAGGATACACTCGCAGACCCCCATGATTTTTCCAGGTGGGCCAAAAAAGCAGATCCGAACCCTGTCCCCGCGCTTGCCAGCTGGACTTCTTCTTGGACGGCCGCGTCCCTGGAAGCCAAAAGTTATGAGAACCGTTTGTCGTTGTCAGCGGGCCGCGAAACCTGGGATCCGACGTCGCCAAAAGAAAAAAGGGCAACATCATGCAAAGTCAAGACCTGAACCCGCGATCCCATCTCCCTCCTGGTGTGAAGAAGATGCGGCGCTCGGATCACGGGAGGGAGGGACGGGGGAAGGAGGAGGGAGGAGGGAGGAGGAGGGGGAGGAAGAAGGGGGAGGAGGGAGGGGGGAGGGGGGAGGGGGGAGGAGGGAGGAGGGGGGAGGGAGGGGAGGAGGGGAGGAGGAGGGAGGGGGGGAGGGAGGGAGGGAGGGAGGGAGGAGGAGGAGGAGGAGGAGGAGGGGGAGGTCTGGGCCCCAGCGTGCAGGTGCCGCCCGGGCCCTCGTCGCCCGCAGGCGGCACGCGGCGTTCGGGGCGCGGCGCCCCGTGACGAGCCCTGTGGCTCGCGCTGCCCTCTGCGGCCCGCGGGAGGCTTTTGTCCGCCCGCGCTCTCCGGACAGCTGGCTGCTCGATGATGGCCGAAGCATGGGCCCCAAGACCTACAGGGCAGTTTTTTTTATACATGGGATGTTTAAAAATATCGGACGTTTGGTACATGATCAATGTATAAGTAAATGTATGCATGGGCTCATCGTTGCTCTTGATACTAATTCCCTGCATTTTTCTGATACATGATCCGCACGCGGAGCATGTACTCCAAACGGCACTGTACCAGACAGCTGGCGGCGCGCAAAAGGGGGTGGAGGGAGGGGAGAGGGCTTCTTGGAAGGAGGCTGCTCCTTAGAAGGCGCCGGCCTTGCATCTGCAGACGAGGCCCGCGCCTTCCAGGAAGCGGGGGGGGCTTCCGAGAAGGCCGCCCCCCTCCCCCCAAACCCCCCTCTGCGCGTGGCTGAGGACACCTGGCTGCTCGATGGTGGCCGAAGCATGGGCCCCAAGACCTACACCCCATATCCGGAGAGATGGAGCCAGAGATTTGTTGCTGCACGCGCGGCCTCTGGAGATCTGCACGCCGCTCTCGGGCACCCCATGGCCCTCCATGTAAACCCTCGGCGCGGGGATCCCCACGATGATGTGCAGCAGTCTTCGGGCGAGATCCTGCCCGAAGCCCTCGCGCCTGCTCCGAAGCCGTCTGGGCCTTCCCCGAAACCACGGGTGGCTTCTCGGGAAGCGCGGGGCTTTTTGGAAGCCCCGCCCGCCGCCTTCCGATACGGCCGGCCCCCGCTGCCTTCTCCCCCAGGCGAGCCGCCGACGCGGCACCTGGAAGGACGGACCCGGCTGCAGGAACCCGACGCAAAGGTGGGGGCGAGAGCTCTGGTCGTGCTTCCCGCTTCACGACGTTACGCAGCAGGCATCTATACACCACCACCACCGTGCCAGGCCAGGGCCATCCTGGCCCTGGCATGGTGTATACGCCCTCCTGGCAGAGGCCAGGAGGGTCTATACACCATCCTGGGGCCCAGGATGGCCCTGGCCTGGCACGGTGGTGGTGTGCAGATGCCCTCGTCGGCGACGCCGTGAATGTCCGCCGCGACGTCGGATCTCAGGGGAGGGAGCCATCGGGTGCTGCTTCCTCTGCCGCCTCGCCTCCCCTCCGCAGGCCGTCCTGCTTCCCCAGGCCGGCGTCCTGGATGACCTCGGCGCTGGCCTCGCTCGAGCGGGGCGGAAAAAACGGAGGGGAGGGGGAGGGCCCGGGAGCCAGCGAGCGGGGAGCGCGGAGGAGGGGAGGAGCGGGGAGCGGAGGCGGAGGGAGGGATAGGGGGAGAGGGGGGGAGAGCAGGTCAAGAGAGTCGGGTGAGGGGGGGGAGAGGATGGAAAGGAAAGGCAGGGGACTGGGCGCGAGGGCGGGGATGGGGAGGAGAGGGGGGGAGGGGGAGCGAGCGAGGGGGAGAGCGAGAAGCGGCGGGGGGGGGAGAGGAGGGGAAGGGAGAGGGCTTGGAGGACAGCAACCCGGCGGGCGCTGGCTACAGTGCGCGGTGAAGTGCATCTCTGAGATCGTGCACGTGCGCGCGCATGTCCACATGGCAAGCGAATATATGTGCACGCACGGCTGCAGCTACCTGAGCGCAAAGCTGCGCAAACTCGCAAACATGCAAAGTCTGAAACGGTATACCCGAATGCACACATGATTACGTATCCGCCACCGTGCCCCCCCCTGGTGCGTGGAGGCGTAGCGCATTGAGGCGTCGTAGAATGCCAAGTGCTGTCTGGTAGGGCTTCTGCACTATGGTCAATGAAAAATTACCCAAACGAACAAAGGCCCAGGACAACCCCCTGAACAACCCAGACAATCCATGCTGATTGATGACGACAAAGTGGCCTACCCGGGACAACCCCTGGGACAACCTCGCGTGGATCCGGACCGCTCCACGGGACAACCCCGCTTGGACAAGCCTCCCTGGGATCTTTCTTCCAGAAGACCTACCAACCTTGTTACGGGACACACACACAGACTCTCACACCGCTCCCCACGCAGTGGCACATACATCCCCCCGTCCCGAGGTTCCCCAGGCGGCCGGACGCGTCCCTGGGGCCCTCCACGGCCCTTTAAGCCTTCCAAGACGGCCCAGGCAAGCCACCAAGACCGCCAAGATGGTCCAAGATTGCCTGGAGAGCGACCCAATAGCGTCGAAGAAGACCCAAGGAGGCATCCCAGAGGCTTCGAAGAAGCCAACAGAACGCCCAAGAGACCTCCAGGAAGCCCGAAACCATTGACAAAATTAGGACTAACATTAAATGAAATGTTCAACATGCTTAGACTTGACGTTTTTCGTTTTAAGATGGTCCCAAGAGGGCCTCCGAGGAGCCAAAGAGCGCCCACATGAGCCCCAAGAGGGCCCCAAAGGCGCCCAAAATTACATCAGGAAAGCCAGAAGACGGCCCGAGGGATATTCAGAAAGGGCTCAAGGCGTCCCCAAGAGACTCTCCAGACGGCCAAGAGCGGCCCAAGAGGGCCCCAAGACGGCCCAAGAGAGCCCCAAGAGCCCCCGCAAGGCAGCCCAACAGGACCCCAAGACAAGCCCAAGGCTACCGAAGAGGGCCGCATGAGAGCCCCCAGAAAAGGCATGGAGGAGGAGAGGTAAGGAGAGGTACGGTCGGGAACTCTTGCTCAGCGTGTCGCGACAGCGGCCCCGGCGAAGCGCTATGCTCTGCAAGCGAATAACATGTCGCTCCGCTCAGCGGGGCGGAAGGCTCGGAACAGCTCGGGACGTTTACGCTCGAGGACTGGGACGTGGATAGCGTGTCGCGCCAAAACATGGTGGGCCAAAACTGGCGGCGCGACTCGCTAAGCCAAAGTTTCCGAACTTAGGAAAAGAGGGAGATGAAGGGAGGAAGACGACGGCGAGGACGAGGAGAGACACCCCGACACGAGGACGCAGAGCGTGTCGAATGTTGCGCCTCTCTCAAGGCCAAGGGCGAAAGGTGTCACCAGTTACTGGCTTCTGGGCTGTGCCTGGAGGGTCGCCTCACATGGTGTTGCGCTGTCACGGTAGCGTTTGTACACGTGGGTATACTATATGAGTGTTTATGTGTGTACGCGCCTCTATATGTACACATATGTGCATATCGACTTAGATGCGTATACGTAAAGATGTGTATGCATGCGTACACATATATACTAGGACCACGCACGCGCTCAAGTTCTAGTCGACTCCCAAGACAGTCTTAGTTGGCATGGGACCCATCCCGTGGTATGTCTTCGAGATGGCTCCCGCTTACGATTACCTGGTTTGAGGGTGGCTACTGCGAGGCTGAAGGAAAGGACCGTAACCTATAATCACATTATTATGGCTCCAAATGAACACGATGGGATCTCGTGAGCCGGCTGGGACGCTACAGAAACCAGCGACAGGGGGGAGGACGAGCACGACAATGACGGACTGAGGAACATTAATGATTTCTGCCTCTGAAACCACTCTTAGCGATCCTCCTAAGGCCTCGTCGGGACATCTTGGGGGCCTTTGAGGTCATGGTGAAGCAATCTTGCACCATCACTCGGTCTCTCGGGCGACCCTCGAGGGCCCCAGGATTCCATCCTCCCCCTCCCAAACCACCAGCGCAACGGCCCACGGGGAGGAAAACCTGCAAGCGCCACGACGAGCGTGAGGGGTGCCGACAGGCAAAGGCTAGAGTGGCAAAAGACAACTCCCTGCAAAACGCAGCGGCCGAGGGAGTCCGTCCCAGAAGCGCCAGCTGTCAATTGCGCCGAGGAGCCCGCCAACGCCACAAAAGGCCATCATAGCCAGACAGTGCAACAAAGGAGCCGAAAAGGGCGAGGCGAGGCCGAAGAAGTCATGCTTCTGGCACCTGCCTCTCCCTTCGCAGAAGAGCAGCCGTGCAGAGGCATCCCCAGCATTCTGCTGCCAGCTACATGCAATTGCTTCCAGGGAAACCTCTCGAGGGAAAAGCACGGCAAGATCGCTCAAGAGGACACCACAATGGTCCAAGAAGCATCCAAGACGGCCCCCAGACGAGCCAAAAGGACCTCTGGAGGGACCCAATACGGCCTTAGACGACCCTTTGACGGCCCAAGACGGCCCCACAAAGGCACCCAGACACCGCCAATACGACCAACAGGGCTCCATGGCCCAAGAGAGCCCCAAGATTGCCCAAGAGGGCCCGAAGACGGCCCAAGAGGGCCCCGAGGAACCCCCAAGACTGCACCACAGGAGGCCCAGACACCCCCAAGACGGCCACGATGAGCTCCATGAGCGCTCCTCAGGACACGAGGACGAAGGTGTCACATGCGACAGCCGTCCTCTTCCTCCTCGCCCTCATCTTGCTCCTCCTCCCCCGTCCTGTTCCTCCCCCTCCTGTTCCCCCTCCTGTTCCTCCTGCTTACCCTCCTCCTCCCCCTCCTGTTCCCCCTCCTGTTCCTTCTCCCCCTCCTGTTCCTCCCCCACCCCCTTTGCCTTATAAATAACTGCTCCCTGTCGCATTCCGGCACGCGTAGTATTGGCTTTACACGGGTCCTCCTCCTCCTCCTCCTCCTCCTACTCCTCCTCATCCTCCTCCTCCTCCTCGCATCCTCATCGTCATCATCCTCATCAACGGCTCCACGTGCCTGGGGCACGAGGGGTCACACGTGAGGACCTCCCGCGCCCTCGCGGACAGGCGACACCCAGAATGCGGGGCTGGCAAGGCGGCGGGACCTGCCGCAGGCAACTGGATATTGATTTTCACACAACACTAGCTTGATTTAGAGACGCCCGCTTCTTCGGCGCGCCAGCTCCCCCTGTCCCCTCGACCGCGCCAGCCAAAGGAAGAGTCGAATCCGAGTCCGCTCGCTCTGGTGCCTTCCCCGCCCAGGGAAAGGAGGGGGTCTGGGAAGCGGCGGGAGTCCGTGTGTGATGGGGGGGAAGTGCTGAGACTGGTCCTGGTGAGGGGGGAGGTGCTGGGTAATTGGTGAAAAAAACGAAGCGAGTGAGTGAAGCGAGTGTGCGGCTTCAGTGAAGCGGTTCTGCGGATTCGCGCGTTGGGCGCGTTGGGGGGTCGCTAGGACGGGCGAACAAACATACCTACATATATATATATATATATATATATATATATATGTATGTATGTATGTATGTATGTACATATGTCTATATATATGTATATATATATGTATGCCTAGCTATAGATATACACGTATCTATATGTATATATGCATGCATGCATACATATCTACATACATACATACATGCATGCATACATACATACATATATATATATACATACATACATACATACATACATACATACATGCATACATACATACATACATACACACACATACATACATACATACATACATACATACATACATACATGCATGCATGCATACATACATGCATACATACATACATACATACATATACACATACACATACACATACACATACGCATACACATACACATACGCATAAACATACACATACACATACACATACACATACACATACACATACACATACACATACACATACACATAAACATAAACATACACATACAGACAGACAGACAGACAGGCAGGCAGGCAGACAGACAGACAGCCAGACATATACAGAACTGTGCTAATACAGCCTCTACGCATATGAAAGGCAATGGTTTGAGGCTGCCGTGCAAGGAAGGGGGGGTTCACGATCTCCTCTGCGGCGCACGCAGCGACCCCCTGGCGCGCGTGATCAAAAAGATGATTTCGCGCCCCGCGGGGTCTATTCATCAGCCATTGGAGACGTGGGGGCTCAATTGTTCGTTCCAAGCTGACATGACCATCGCCTGCCCCATGAATAGAAAATGATCTGACACAACTCGCGCTGCGGCTGGGGAAGCTGGGTCCCAGGGGTGCGGGGAGAGGGCCTGGCGGCGGCGGAGAAGCCGTCCGCGAACGTCCACACGCTGATGCCCCAAACAATGCGTGCACTGCGGGGTCTCTTAGTGGGTTCCTTGCGAATGTGTCCTGGATTCTGGACTTCTGGCCCGCTGCTGCCCAATTGCCGCTCCGCTTGGCTTACTTCAAAGTGCCTTCTGTACGTACAGTGGCTTGCATTGATCTGCCTTGCCTCGCATTAGCCCGCATTGCGTTGCACTCGCTTGCGCTAACCTGCGTTGCCATGCGTTGCTCTGCGTTGGCTTGTGCTGCCCTGCACCGCTCTGCCATACAGCGGACATGCTGCACTGCACTGCACCGATTCACTGCTTGAGGCCCACGCTGGAAGGCCCATACGGGAGGCATGGTGTGTTGCTTGCCGCTTCTCTGCCTCCGCCTCGCACCCCCACCGCCGCCTCCACGGCGGAGGGGTCCGCGAGGTGCTGAGCGAGCAGCTGCACGAGGCCCAACGAATGGTGCATGGCAGACCTGGCCAACGACGAGTGGAACGAAGCGAGGAGCCAGGAAACGGGAGGGGAGGGACGGCTACCCCCCTCCTCCTCATCCTCATCCTCCTCCCTCCTCCCTCCTTGCTCCTCCCTCCTCCATCCTCCCTCCTACGTCCTCCTTCCTCCTTCCTCCTTCCACCTCCTTCCTCCTCCTCCTCCTCCCTCCTCATGCTCCTCCTCCTCTTCTTATTGGTATGTGTTACACCATTATTTAGTATTAGCATGTCCCTGCAGTAATCTTACGAGTGTCCTTTGTTTATGTTGACTGCTAAACGTGTTAGTACCAATGCGCTTACGATCATTAGCATTACCAGTAATAGTATTAGTAGGAGTGTTCGTATGATTAGTCATGATATGAGTGTCCTTAGTGTCCGTGTTGGTGTTCTTAGCATTGGCCGTCTCAGTATGATGTGTCTTAGTAGCATGCATATGATCCGCATTCTTACACTTCATATTATTCGTATTGTAAGTAATTCCAGTAGCTCCATGATTACTTGGATATTATAACGAGTGTTAACAGTAGCGGCAGTAGTATTACAAATATTACTAGTAGTAGTAGCAGCAGCAGCAGTAGCAGTAGTAGTAGTAGTAGTAGTAGTAATAATAGTAGTAGTAGTAGTAGTAGTAGTAGTAGTACAAGTTCCCCTTGCTACGAATACAGTTGTTAACAATAGTCGTCGCATCTTATCATGAAAGATATGAGCGTGCGTGTTCTTACGATTCGCCATCGTCACGATAGTAGTATTATTACTATATTCCCCTTCCGGTGACCATTGGTAATACGATCCGTATCGATAGTATGATTACGCATATGATAATATTCCTCCTCCTCCTCCTCCTCTTCATTCTCGTCCTTCTCCTCCTCCTCCTCCTCCCGCTCCACGTCCTCCTCCCGTTCCGCGTCCTCATCCTCCTCCTCTTCCAGCTCCGCCTCCTCCTCCTCCTCTTCCTCCTCCTCCTCCTCTGCCTCGTCCTCCTCTACCTCCTCCTCCTCATCCTCTTCCCCCTCCTCCTCCTCCAGCTCCGCCTCCTTACCCTCCCCCCACCCCTCCCACCTGCTCCAAATCCGCCGCCGAACCTCTTCCTCCTCCTCCTCCTCCTCCTCCTCCTCCTCCTCTTCCTCTTCCTCTTCCTCATCCTACTCCTGTTCCTGCTCCTCCTCATCCCCCTCCTCCTCTTCCTCCTCCTCCTCCTCCTCCTCCTCCGCCTCCTCGTCTTATTATTACTCTTAGTATTATTATTATTAATAATATTATTCGTATTAGTAGTATTCGTGTTCTTTTTATTCGTCTTATTGTTAGTGTTATTCGTACCATTAGTCTTAGTATTCGGATTCGTATTCGTCTTCCTCGTATTACTATTCTTAGTATTCTTATGATTAGTATTCTTCTTATTCTTAATAGTATTCGAATTATTATTAGTAGTGGTATTCGTCTTAGTGTTATTATTATTCAAATTGTTATCAGTATTATTAGTAGTATTACTAGTAGTCTTAATATTATTAATAGTAGTATTAGTATGATCCGTCTTACTAGTATTATCATTACTAATAGTATTATTAATATTCCTCCTCCTCCTCCTCCTCAT